GGGGGGGGCAGATACTGTCAACTATCGCATCACAAGCTCAGCTGTTGTGGCCCGCGATGATTGCACCCCGCCGCCCGTCGCCGCGCCCCCACCACCGGCCTCCCATCCGCCCCACCCGCCCCTGCTAGCGATGCCGATGTGATGTAGTGCTGACTGGAGGCCCTTGTTGCAGCAGTCGCGTTCCGATGCGAGCCGTGTGGTATCCGTTTCTCGTCGCTCAGCACCCTGGAGGCCCACCAGACGTACTACTGCTCGCACCGGCCCAACGCCCAGGGCCCCAAAGGTGAGTTCCGTCTGCCCTCTAGCCTCGAGCAGGCCGACGAGGTCGTCGAGCTGACCTGACCGTCTCCCCTCCTCTGCCGCAGGTCCCATCGTGGAGGCTGACGAGGGTACAACCGGGGGTGACGGCGCGGACCTGATGGCGCCCCGCGCCGACTCCGCCGACGGCAGCGAGTCCGGGAAGAGGGCGGCCCAAGGCGGCGCGCAGGTGGCCCAGGGCGGCGGCCAGGCGCAGGGTGGCGCGGCCGGCGGCCAGTCCGGGGGACAGCCCGGCGCCGGCCACCCCAAGCAGTACTCGTGCCCGCACTGCTCCTACTCGGCCGACAAGAAGGTGTCCCTCAACAGACACATGCGCATGCACACGGCCTCGCCGCCGGCCGCGACGGGCGCGGTGGCGCCCCCCTTGCAGCTGCCGCTCCAGCTGCAGGTGCAGCCCGCGGAGCCCGCCGACGCGGCCGCCTCCTTCGTGGACCGCTACTGCCAGGACTGCGACATCAGGTTCTCGTCGTACAAGACGTTCCGTGCGCACAAGCAGCACTACTGCAGCACCCGACACGTACTGAAGGTGAGTAAAGACGAGATGCGGACGCGCGCGGGACAGCACCCGCACCTCCCTGTGTGGAAGTTGGTTCTATCGAGTTTTTGTCTTGTTCGCAGGGATCGGGAGCCGGGGGTTCATCCGAGTCCGCGTCGCCCTCTCCCGTGGAGGGCGGCCCGGGGCCCGCCGCCGGCCCCGCGCTGCCCACGCGCGCGGCCGCGGGGTCCCCCGGCCACGCCTCCGGCAACGAGGCGCTGCTCGCGCTGCCCACCAACCCGCCGCTGCTCGTGCCCTACTCGCTGCTGCAGGGCGCGAGCGTGGTGCAGGGCGCGGCGCTGAGCGCGGCCCTCGGGGTGGGCGCGGGTGCGGTCCTGGGCGCCGCCTGCCTGCTGTGGCTCCCCGACGGCTCGCTGCAGGCCGTGGCCACGGCCAACCTGCCGTCGCCCAGCCGGCCGCGGCAAGCTCCCGCCAACGCCGCGCCGCCCCAGCCGTCGCCGTCGCCGTCCCCTCAGTCCGCCCCGGCCGCCCCCAAGCGGCAGCGCGACGGCAAGCAGGCCTCGCCCGCCCCCGGCGTGGCCGGCAGTGCCCCCGCCACCAACCCCGGCAGCGCCCAGGGCCTCGGCCCGCTCGACCTGAGCGTGCCGCGGCGCGCGTCGGACTGCTCCGAGCCGGACCAGGACATGGACGAGGACGTGCACGTGCAGGACCACGAGCACGAGGACATCGTGTGCGCGCCCAGCATCCCTCTGATGTTGTCCGCCTCGTCGACCTGCTCCTCGCCGTCGCCCGCGCCGCCCCCGGGCCTGGGCCCGTCGCCGTCGCCACCGCCGATGCCCCATCCGCCCTCTCGTAAACGGCCGCACTCGCCCGCGCTGTCGCCGACGGACCGCGGCGGCAAGAAGTCGCCCCGCCGCACTCCTAACGGCGTGGTGCACGCCGGGCTGGTCAAGAAGGAGTCGACGGAGTCCGAGAGGGTCCCTGCGGGCTCCGGGGTCCCTGTGGTGGGCCCCGACCCCCAGCTGCTGCTGCAGTCCGTACTTGCGGGCCGCGGCATCAGCCAGGGCCTCGCCCAGGGCCTCGCGCAGAGCTCTTTGCCCCTGCTGCTGGGCAACCACCTTACTAGTCCTCTAAGCGCCAACATCGAACTGGCCCTCCGGATGGCGGCCGTCTCGGCGGCCGAGCTGCAGCAGCAAGTGGCACCGCAACCGCCGCCGCCGCCCCCGCAGGTGCACGTCAAGCACGGCGTGTCCAAGTGCATGGAGTGCAACATCGTGTTCTGCCGGCACGAGAACTACCTCGCGCACAAGCGCCACTACTGCCAGGCGCGGCTGCAGGAGGAGGCTGCCCCGGCGGAGGCCAGCAATGCCCCCAGCCCGGGGGTGGCACGCTCCCCGTCGTCCAGCTCGCCCCCGGAGCCGCAGCCCGCCGCCCCCGCTGCCCCAGCCCCTGCAGCTGGCGCCGCCCCAACACACGTGCAGTACATTTGCGCGCGGTGTCCTATCAAGTTTGCGTCCCTCGACAACCTGACCCACCACCAGGCCTACTACTGCCCCAAACGGCCGCTGGGCCAGGACGGTGTCATGCAGGCGCCTGGGCCGGGCAAAGTGGTGGAGGACAAGGGAAAACGGCGCTGCCCCAAATGCAAGGTGAGATTGCCTCCCGTTCTCTCTTTTTCTCTCTTGTCGTGAGTTGCAACTAGTACAAAGTCGTTCTTCTTAACAGGCCACAGTCCCTGCTGAACAAGCCCTCAGTCATCAATGTGACGTGCTGGTGGTTGGAAGTGGATGGAGGTGCCCCTGTTGCCCAGTCACCAGTCCCACTATATCTGCTGCACAAAGACATATGGAGACCCACAATGGAATTAAGGCATTCCGATGTACTTTATGTGGCTACAAGGGAAATACATTGCGGGGTATGCGCACCCATATACGCATGCATTTTGAAAAAGGCCTTCCGGACTTGCAGGTACGTAAATTTACACAATACATACACCTCAATAAATTTTAATGTGATTATTTTAAGTAATGAGTTTATTGATTTTTTAGGAGGAAAACTACATTACTTGTGTCATGGAGGATGATGCTGCTATTCCAGCACCAATCCCAGTACCAGCACCCTTGGCAACTCCTCCAACTCCTCCAGCCCACATGTCATCCCTGACAACCACAACTGAAGCATCAAGCCTCCCAGGGTCCGGGTCGGCTGGGAGATCAGATGCTGATAAGCAGTTTAATTGTGACTATTGCAGTTACACAACTTTAGATAAGAATAATTTGCGGCATCATGTTAAACATGCTCACGGTAGATCTTCAGAGGAAAATGCCCTACCGACATCATTAAATCCCTCCAGTACATCTGATGACCAAAGACCTCCTAATGCACTTAATGGAGCAAACAGAGTTAAAGTTAAACAGGAAAAACAAGATGAAGAGTTTAAAAGAATAGAAGAGTTCAAAGTAAAAGAAGAACCTATATTTGTCAATGACGTGGAAGAACGCTCCTCAATTAGAGCATCACCTTTGTTATTGGAGGACTCCAAAGCATCCCTTCAAAGTGTGGAGGATATAAGCAGAGACGAAATTGTGAGTGCAAATAATAACAAAACAGGGCCCAAGTATTGTAAGACATGTGACATCAAATTTACCCTCTATGACTCCTTTATGACTCATAAAAAGTTCTATTGTACAAGATCTGAATCTGATAGCAAAGTAGCTCAGGCATCAGCTTTATAGTTCTATTCGTTCTATCTTTACTATGTTATTTGATTTCTTAGCTTGATTTTGATAATTATATGAAATTTTGTACCTTAACTGTATTACACCACAAGTTTTACTTCCCCAGTAGCGCGAACACATTGAATTACATTCAGTGCGCGTAAAAAACCTCATAAGCTGGTTGCTCTTTGGTGACACATTTAATTTGCATGTAGCACATTAAATGCACAATCAATGTCAACAATCAACTGTTGTGTGGATTTCTAGGAGCATTGAAGTGTACTATTCGTTGCATTTTGGTGTAGTCAGGGTAGTCAGTTATCAATTACTTCTAGGCAATATATTTCCTTACGGCTGAACTCCTTATTAAAAATCAAAAGTCCACCTTTCTGTGTTTCTCATACTCTTGAATACTTGGGGCAAAAAATGTTGTAATTTGCAAATTGCTTAATAGAGTTTCATTCAGCAAAATTAAGCAACATAACTAAATTGTGTAGTTAGTTATACTGATCTTGTCTCATCTTTCTTATATGCAGCCAAAGTCAGTGCTGCTAGGCACAGATGTGATAATGCTTATCTTTTTGAAAATATTCAGTCACAGATCAAATTTTTCTTATTGGTCTTCCCTGTCCCAGGTAGCAGACTAGCGCACAGTATGCACATTCTTGGTTCAAAAATGATTCTTGGATGTGAATTCTATGCGCTACCAGGCTACTGTTTGCTACCTAGGAAAGTAGTGATCTTGAACTGATACTTACTTTTAATTTGTTAGAAATTTTTACT